GCACACGGGACCAAAGAAGACCCGTAACATTGTTCATTTTGGGAACATTTAGATTTCCAGTCCAATGCCAATGATTCCTGTAAATTCAGAATTGACCAAATTTTGATGTCAAATTCCCAAATTAAACTAAAATTGGTAGCAAAACTGAAAATTCAAAACTCTTAGTTCTTTCGTTTCCTTTTTTCTGACCTGACGACATTTTGACGTCCATTGCACGTGGAGTTCCCGAATGGAAAAAACCAAAACAAAACAAATGTCAAAGTTTGGTGACAAAATTATAAGGTAAATTTAATGGGGAGGGACTTGACGGCTGAAACTTCGAATCCCAGCGCATTTTGACGGATTTGTTGCTAAAACTAGCCCCGTCATAAGGATTGAATTGGTGCTGGAGCTCAGATTTTGTACTCAGAAAATTGGAAGAATTAAAGGCCCTGAGAACTCATTTCTGACAATTTTGAGGTGCCAAAAACGTATCAAAATCTAAATTTGCTAAACTGAAGAAGGTTTTGCTGGGGCTTAATTCTCACTTGTTGGGGCCCAGCACCCACGGACCCCACCCTAATGACAGGGCTGGTTAAAACTCGTAGAAGACAAATTCCCCGTCGTTTAGGAAATTCAAATTCCAAGATTACGTAACAAAATGTGATACCGTATATTTGCGTGTATAATGCGCATTTTTAACAACATATTTTTGGTGACATATTGTGAACTTCATAAGTTTGAAAATAGGTTTTTTGTATTTTGTAGATTGTATCTGATTTTGTATTTTGTATTTTGTAGATTGTATCTGATTATGTTTTTTGTATTTGTAGATTGTATCTGATTTTGTATTTTGTAGATTGTATGTGATTTTTTATTTTGTAGATTGTATCTGATTTTGTATTTTGTATTTGTAGATTGTATCTGACTTTGTATTTGTAGATTGTATCTGACTTTGTATTTGTAGATTGTATCTGACTTTGTATTTGTAGATTGTATCTGACTTTGTATTTTGTAGATTGTATACCATGTACAGAAGATTTATTCCAATGTGATAACTGTCGATGTATCTCTAAAAGTTGGCTCTGTGACCACAACAACGACTGCGGAGATAACTCAGATGAGGCCCATAACTGCTGTAAGTATTTTAA